CACTGTTCAGCAGCCCCCCGGAGCAAGGATGCAGCCGGGCAGTGGAAATGTGCTTGGATGCGGGGTGCTCAGGTGGGCTGGGAAAGGTGTTACTCACCTCGCCTAGCACCTGGGAATCTCTTAGTGCCTGGTCAGTGATGTCAAAATGGAAACGCAGCACCCGGGGAAGGGTGAGGGCCCGGGTCCTCACGACCAACTGCTCAGCAGAAACGACACTGGGAGGAGAGGGTGTGTCCCGAAGTGCTGAGCCGCACGGCTTAGACCTGGGGTGAAGGTACGGGAATCGTCCGGCACAAAGCACTCTAGCCAGGCCTTTCTTCACAAAAGGAGAGGATCTCAGAGAAGGCTTCTCCTCCGAGAACATGAGCACATGGCATGTGGGGCTGGGCCTGCTTCCAGGAAGGTGTGCGCAGCGGCCGCACCTGTGAAGTCCCAGTGACTGTGGTGCTCTAGAGGCCTAGGGACAAGCCAAGGCTGGGATTTATCATGAGTCGTCTTGGCATCTTGAGATGCCTGGTAGACCTGAGACTAAATTTAGATCCCTAGACTTTAATTTACAGCTCACAGATAGACTGACCACATTTCAACTTCTTACACCCCCTAAAATAAAGGCTTCTCCAGCTCTGTGCTACTGTTTCTGCCCTGTCATAAAGGAAAATGTCTCAAGTTGGATCTGCCTTCCTGTCGCTGCAGAGCTTTGCCCCTTTGGGAATTTGGAACTGTGGAGAGAGCCGCCACGGCTTCCCGTGCCTAAACCCTGCTGCTCCTCTCGACCTCCCATTTGAAACACAGTGCGCGGCCTTGGCTTCTCCACTCCGATTCCCGGCAACCCCCAGCGGGTCGGTGTCCTGGAGAATGGCCTTCCAGGCAAGGGCAGCACCCCCTGCAGCCAGAAGGCCACCTGAGCCTCATTCTCCAAGGCTGCTGGAGGGCACACTTGTGGCACAAAGCGACATGTGTGTCCCTGGAGCCTCTTGCCCAGTCTTGTACTCCGGGGTGCTGACAGGAAGAAGAGCATTTCTGTGTCAGGAGCTGGTGCCCGCTGGTCACTGCCGTTGGCTCCCATGGAGCTAGCTTGTAGTTGACCCAGGTAGTCAGACCCTCCCCGGGAGCTGCCTGGAACATCCTTCCTGTCTTTACACCCATGGTCGTGTCAGGTGCTGCTTCTGAGAGATTAATTGAGGTGTCCTTTAAAATACGTAGCCCTAGTCATGGGCTGGGGACGTGACTGTTCCAGCCCAGGTGCACCAAGCTTGGGTCTCAGGCCTCAGAACCAAGGGGCGCCTTGGGCTTCTGTGGTTCTCACAATAAAATGTGGCCCCTTGGGAGGAGCTGCAGGCGCCTTCCAGCTTCTGGAGGAGGCTCACGACCTTAATCTGTAAACGAGTCATTTGCTGTTTACTCTTCAGGCGAGAATAGTTACTGACCCCAACAGCTGAGTCAGGGATTCGTTTTTCCTACAAACAGGATTCTGGGGCAGGTGGCAGTGAGCGCCGAGGCCGTGGTGAGCAGCGTCACTCACAGCAGGGACGTGCTCATCAGTATTTCCTCTCCTCGGCAGGAGCCTTTGAAGTTGGGGTTTGGTTTGTTGATTTCTAAATCTTCTGAATCTCGAAGAGTAGTAAACATTGGGACACCAGAACCCAGGATACTTCTCTTGGACTGAACTGAGCTTAGGTCACTTATTTAGCCAGTGACTTGAGTGCTGTGTGCCCTGAGATGAAAAGCGGGACACAGAGCAGAATTCAGCACTCGGAGTGATCCTAAACGTGTTTTTCAGGGCAAATAATTATTCACATCTTGTTATAAGCACACGACTTCTGATGTTTATTAAAACCACAAAACTAAGCCCTGAGAAGCAAAATACAAAGGACTGAAGATAGAATTTGAGAATAAAGTGAGAAACCAGATCTCTTCAGGCGTGAACCAAAGGAGCCTGCGTTTCTCAGCAGACAGGAGAGGCACAGGAGGAGGCTTGTCGACATTTCATCCATTTGGCGCTGGAATGGCCAGATCTACTTCTTACTTTTTCTTGGGTTTTGTCATACTTGGCTCATGATAAAGGGACTTTTCAGCGTTCGTTTATACCACTGGGCTGGGGGAACACTGCTCGCATGATCCACATAATTACTTTTCCATCTTTCAGTCCTTTAACCCTCTCTCGCCTGCTATGGTGGGGCGCACTGGCCTGAGGAAGCTTTGCGTGCTGGTGCACACAGCCAGCGCAGACAGCTGTCCACACGCACAGATGCACAGAACGAGTGCTTTTTGTGAGCTGGGGTGTGAGGCCATTCACTTCTCTTTTAGAAGACATTGATTTATCTAACTTTGCAGAAGTCAAAGAAAAATATAAAAAAAACCCGTACTAGCTGAAAGAAGGAAGGAAGGGAGAGAGAACGGGAGGGAGGGAAACGAATGGGAGGCTTGTGTATCCTGAAAGGGTATTTTTTACTTGCAGCTCTGATCAAACGCCTGTCGTCCCTTCATCGAGGTCCAGGTTTGCCTTCTCTGTGTCTGTGCTGGACCTTGACCTCAAGCCCTACGAGAGCATTCCGCATCAGTATAAACTGGATGGCAAGATCGTCAACTATTATTCAAAGACTGTATGTGCCAAAGACAACGCCGTGATGTCGACTCGGTTCAAGGAAAGCGAAGATTGCACGTTAGTTCTCCACAAGGTCTAACCCTTTCCCTGCAGTGTCTTTGAAACTTGAACACAGAATGTGAAGGTTGAATGATAGAGCTATTTTCTGTTGTGTTGGGTGAGCTTTGGTTGTGAATGTTTTTGCTTTTAACCCCTGTTGAGGTGGGATTGCCTCTTGGAGACATGGAATTGAAGAGCACTGGGAACATCTTCCTGGACAAGGAATGTAGGACGTGCTGTGTCCCAGGAAGCTGCCCACACTCTTACTATGGAAGTGTCCGTTAAGCCCTGGGAAGACCTTCTGGATAGATCTTCCTTCCCAACCAGGGCTCATGTCTGATTCTCTAATGCTAAAAGCCTTATTCTAAGACCCAAGGTTTGGATCTGCTACCACCAGACTCCTAACATAGAAAACTTGAATTGTCACATACATTTTACAGTTTGAACTTTTAAGAAAACATGGATACTACTGGAACTTTCCCCAGCTGAGTTACATGGTCACTTTTCAGTGCAAGCCACATATCAACACAGGTTTTTAGGTGGTTCCCTGCTGCAGAGCGTGACCTCGTGGTCGTGCAGACGCCGGTTCTGAGCAGTGTAGACTCAGGGTCCCTGTGGAGGTGCTGAAGCCCGTGGTTCCACACGGGGCAGCAGGGAGCGCAAGACTCAGGTCAGGATGGACACCACTCATGCGAGCATTGACCTTTTTTTTTGCTTTACAATTTAATCTTTCACGAGGGGGAGATGAGTTGTTGTTTCCCACTAAAAATTGCTGCTGTAGAAGTTGGAGGTGGAGCTGTGACTGGCTGAGCTGCTGTGGCCGGGCTGGGATGTGTGCCCCAACAGCTCAGTGCTTTCCTGACACTCCAGTGTCTGGGCTGGTTGAGGAACGAGTTCTCTCTTCCTCCCGGACCGAGTTCCTCCCTCGGGTTTGCCTTGAGACGCATTGAGTTTTTGGGCCCCGTGGCCTCTCCCTGTCAGGCTGCCACAGGCCCTGCTTCCGGAAGGTGAACAGCTCCTGGCTGCTGCCGAGAGGGTTCTCGTTGGGGTCACCAAAGTGTGCCCGGCTGCTATGAAAAACGTTGGGAATCTTGGTTTCAGTTTTTTATTCTATGCTAGGTTGTACAGACTTATTTATATCATCGTTTTGAGGGACTAATGGAGGCTTATTGTAACATATAATATTAGCGAAACCATGGAATTATATGAAAATTATACATGAGAAATAAGGAAACTATTTTGCTGATTGTAAATTTTTGTGGGAAATTTTGTGATAACTTGAGAATTATACTTGTTTGAATCAAGGCAACTCTTCTAGAATTTATTGTTCAATTCTGTCATATTTACTTCTAATTCTACACTCAGAGGTGCAAAACGATACTTACACAACTGGACACTTTTACTGTTTGCTTCTCACTTTGAATGACACCGTCTCATACACATGGGTCCTGTGTGTCGGGATGGGGGCTTTGGTGACTCACCTAAGTGAAGTGCATGGAGCTCACAGACGGGCCACAGGCTCTGGGAAGTGTGGAGGGAGTGGCCGTGAGTACTGTCTTGACCCAAGGGAGTTCACTGTTGCTGGGCTGGGGCTGGGGCTGGGGCAGCCTCGTTTGGGATGATTTTGCCCAGTGTCACGGTGTGTGGAGGATGCTGGGTCCTGGGTTCAAGTGCACATGAGAGGGAACCCCAGTCCATGGGAAGGTGGGCTGGGCTCCTGAGGTCCTTCAGGGCTGCAAGAGTTATTGCCTAGCACAGGGCCCAGACAGGGCTGGACTAGACACAGTGAAAACAGCCTGTATTTGAGGGAGAAGAGAAAACAGGTGGACCCCCACTCTGTCTGGTCTTGGCTCCCACCAGCCCGGGCTGTGAGGAGCCCCTGAGCAGTGGGTGCCACTGCTGTGGATGCGTTGCTGGCACGTTCTGGAAACTGCTGCTGCTGTGTAGTCATGGCAGCCCTGATTGGTTTGAGACAACACGTGTTCACAGATCCTAACAATGCTAAATGGGCGACTGATGAGGTCACGGTTTTTACGGCACATCCGGGACGATCAGTGTAGCACTTGGGCTCTGCAGGGGGGTCTTTCATACAGGACCTCATTCCTCACGCCCTGGCCCAGGAACAGTGTTGTCTTTGCTGTCTTAGGCCATTCTTGTTACTAAGCTGACAGCTCCACTTTCTTGTGGAAGACCAAGAACAGTGTGAGGACTTGCCGAGACTGCCTCTCAGTGCCACTGTGCGGACCTGGGGGAGGAAGGGAGCGTGGGCGTGGCTCCCCTGGGCTGCTAAGGACAGTTTAAAAATGAGGTGCCACAGGCATCCATCTCCAGAGCCCCCAGGAGGCAGGAACCAGGATAAGGGTGGCTTCTCCCAGCTGAGCAATGTGGCCGCCATGTCCAAGGTGGACTCGGTGTGAGGCCACGGTGGGTGGGGGGATGGGTCCTCCCCACACATCTGAGGACACACGACCACTTGGTACATTCTCTCAGATGTTAAGCTTATTTTTATAAACCACATTGTACATGTCACTTTTATTTGGCATTTTATACTTAACTAGCTGTATTTATTTTTCATGTCATGAGAGTTTCCATATAATGTGCCATAACTGCATAGACAGCATGTCTTCAGGGTGTGGTTCTAAGTGGAAAAGAGCAAATGTTTATATTCAATAAAATTGCATGCTCCTCCGCGCAGCATCTTAACCCTCCCGTTCACTGTTTTAGAACTAGTTGTTCTCCTCTGCACAAAGCGATTTTATCAAGCTTTCCAGAGCAGCTTCGATTCCAAGCACTCCGAGCAGGGTTCGGAAGCTGAGAGGAGCGGCTTCTATGGCTCTGTTCTTGTCCAGCTCCAGGGCTAGAAAGAAAACGTTAAACCGGGTAAGAAACTTCAAGGTGGCAGCTTTTGGTTTCTGTTTTCTGCTGGCATGGACCTCACCAAGACCCTGCCCTCCTCCTGACGGGCTGCATGGGATGGGACGTGCTAGTGGCGGGCGAGGAGATGGCGTGCGTGGAGGCCTCACCCGATGGCTCGAGGCACATTCCCTGTGCATTCAGCCCGGGAGGGCCTTGGGGCAGCAATCCCTTCTCATGTTCAGCAATCCCTTCTCATGTTCTTTTTGAGTGATTATTGGTAAAAATATTTAAAAATTGATAGACAAAGTACATTAATGAGATTTCCAATTTTTGATTCTTGCCCTTTGAAACCCAGAGGAAATAGGCAGGTGGCTTTGCTGGGCATGTTGGGAAGTCACCTAGAGCAGCCACACCCAGGGACCTACCTCGCTGTGGGACTTTGGTGAGAAGATCCAGCTTTGGAAAAACCTTCCCATCTTCATCTATTTGTATCCTCCAAACAATGACTAATTCAAACCTGAAAAAGCGATAAAACATGTCATTCTGTGCTTTTTGAAATCTGGCAAAAAGATGAGCAACCATGAGTTGTTCCTGGTGTCCATTTCCCCATGCTGGGCTCCCCTGCTCCTAGCAACCGCGGCCCACAGCGAAGAAGAGGCACGGTCAGTAGCACAGGCAGATGGAACCAGGACCACAGGACGGTGCTGCTCTGTCCGCACTGCACTGGCAAACATCAGTAGACCAGCGAAGTACAGAACACGGAGCAACAGAAACTTCCAAATTACTGGTGGGAGCAGACATGGACAAGCCACTTTGGAAATAATCTGGCACTGACAGAAAGCTGAACATGCACCCAGGAATTTCATTTCTAGGCAGTTGAGCCCAGGAGAAGCTTGTGTAGTGGGTGCCAGGAGGTGTGAGCCAGAACAAAGACGCCACATGCTCCAGAGCTGAAGAGCGCAGCAAGAGCCTGTGCATGATCCCCTCCGGGAGGATGATCCCCCCCGGGAGGATGAGCAGCGAAACTGCACTGCAGCTGCTCATGACCCTGGAGGAGGTGAGGGTGACAAAGGCAAGTCCCAGAAGCCTGCATAAGGACCACACGATTTTAAAGCTTGGAAACCAGTTGAGTTGAGGCCTTCACACACAGGTTATAAAAGCACACCCAGATGGACACACGTCCACACATGCACAGCCAAGGGAAGAGGATGGAGAACACAGCACAGGCCAGGGTGGCGCCGGAGCTGGTGGAGGGATGGGCTGTGCTGTCAGAGCCCTGAGCCTGTCTTGTTTCTTCTCACTGCTTTGGGGTTTTCCACTCACCCCTGGCTTCTTCCCTTCGATTTCTAAGTAACAGCAGATCCACAAGCATCTCCACTTTCTCCCAGCCTCCCTTCCTTGATCCCATAAGTCCTGGGGCGGGCCCCAGGACTGGCGTTTTCCCCCTGCGGCCCAGCACATCCTCCAGAGCTCCAGCTGCCCGCACCCCCACGCTGGGCATACCTGCTGGGACCACTGATTCCTCCAACCGAGGACCTTTAGTTCTTGGTTAGGTGGTTTACTACTTCGAGTCCTACTTAGGTGGTCTCCTGCTTAGAATCCTTGTTTTAACAGGAAATGGGAGGCCCTGTGGCCTGCGCAGACTCACCCTGGCCGGCTGGCACTGCGGATCCCCATGGAGCAGGAGGAGGGCCCCTCCGAGAGGTACACGGCATCTGGGTACTTTTCCTGCATGGGGAGAAGAAACGGTTACAGACAGATCCACTGGTGAGGAGAAAGGGGCCGTGGGAGGGGCACGGGGCGCCGTTCCAGGTGTCCAGTGAAAATCGGGGTCCAAGTGTTCACACAGCACCCACGGGCGCCGACTGCCCCTCCTGCCCTTGCTGTCACACGTCTGCCCCACTGTAGGTCTCTCCACAACCTCCAGGCTCCCATGACTGCTGCTTCCCCAGCATGAACATGGTACATAACCGCCCTACAGCTGCATTCTCAGCTCACAGGTTCCCCACACCCCTTCTACCTGGGATGGCTCCTTGGTCTACCCTTGTCCGTCACAACCTAGACGGTCTGGGGAGGACTGGTCAGAGGATTCCCAAGTGGAGGCGCCAGGCTCCTTGCTGGAAAGCAGCTGTTTTTTGCAGGGTTTTAGTATCTGACCTGAAAAGCCCTTTGAGCTGAGGCTCCGTGAGGGCTGTGGCCGGGCCTGGACGCCCCTCGCCTGTCCATCCTCAGGACTCACCCCAATGGCGCCCAGCCCACACACTGTCCTGGGCATGGGCAGGAGCCCACTCTGGTACCCTCACTGTGCCCAGTGGTGGCACAGCTCCCACTGCAGTAAGGGAAAGGCCCTGCCTTAGTGAAAGCTTCATGATGAGATGGCATTTTATGGTCAAAAGCCTCCTCCTGAAAGCAGGGAAATCAAGTGGAATCTCACAGATTTCTAGGCTTGCAGTTCTGGGACAGTCTGGTTTCCCCCATGGGCTGTGAAAATTTTGGACACGTCTGCTTGTTTCTGTTACTTACAGCAGGACCCGGTAGCCTCTAGCTCTGCCAGAACTGACCTGCAAATTTAGATCAAACCACAACAGTTTGCTTACTGGAACCTGAACAGATGATACATATTCAAAACTGATAAAAGTAATGGTGGCTGTATTCTCTCAGTTCTTAAAAACTTGTCTTTTTGGGCTGGGTGCGGTGGCTCACGCCTGTAATCCCAGCACTTTAGGAGGCTGAGGTGGGCGGATCACGAGGTCAAGAGATTGAGACCATCCTGGCCAACATAGTGAAACCCTGTCTCTAGTAAAAATACAAAAATTAGCCGGGCCTGGTGGCATGCGCCAGTAGTCCCAGCTTACTCAGGAGGCTGAGGCAGGAGAATGGCTTGAACCTGTGAGGTGGAGGTTGCAGTGAGCCAAGACTGTACCACTGCCCTCCAGCCTGGGCGACAGAACGAAACTCCGTCTCAAACAAAACGTGTGTTTTTGGCTGGGTGCGGTGGGCGGCTCACACCTGTAATCCCGGCACTTTGGGAGGCCAAGGAGGGCGGACCACCTGAGGTCAGGAGTTCAAGACCAGCCTGGCCAACATGGTGAAAGCCAGTCTCTACTAAAGATAAAAAAAAATTAGCTGGGCGTGGTGGTGGGCGCCTGTAATCCCAGCTACTCGGGAGGCTGAGGCAGGAGAATCCCTTGAACCCAGGAGGCAGAGGCTGCAGGGAGCCGAGATCACGCCACTGCACTCCATCCAGCCTGGGCGACGAGCGAAACTCCATCTCAGAAACAAAAACAAAAACACACACACGAAAAAACTTGTCTTTTTGTCTGCTCTTGTGAGAACAGCTTGCAGGGTCGGGGTGACAGGAGACCTTCACGGCAGGCTCTGCCTGAGAGGTCGAGGTCCTAGGGCCAGTCTGACAGACGTGCTTTCCTTTCTGTCCTCTCACAGCGACTGATGTAGAAAGGGCAGCCTGGGGGTGCTGCTTAAGTCCCATGCAAGCCCTGCCATGATTAAAAAGCACTGTGGCCTCCCCAGGCCTTAGGGAAGGATAGTGAGGGGAGGTTTCCCCTGAGAAGCATCCGGCCTGACAGCTAGTCAGAGGACACAAGGCAAGGGAGCAGGCTGGAACTGCAGTGACAGCGCCTTCCTGCTGCTCCAGAGACTTGCCGGATTGAACCAGATCGGCTCTGCTGAATGGGGTTGTGTGGGGACAACGGCGTGACCGAGTTTTTAAAAGCGGCAGCCCCTGCATCGCTGAGCTCTCGCCAGTGTGGGAGGCCCTCACCCTGCGCGTGTGGGCCTAACACGGCAAAGGCGCGTCGCAGCACCAGCTGCACCCACCACAGGCTGAGAGGGGCCTGGCGGAAGCTTGCAATTACTAACTTCAGCACAACAGTTTCCATAAGAAAATGTATACCTAAGTGATTTAAGTGGAAAGTGTTGGTTGATTTTTAAACCGCAGCCTCTTCCAAATTAATCACAACTGCTTGAGGACCGTAAGGGAGAGCCTGTGAACGTGGCAGCTCAGCTTCCAGGCTGGCTCAGCGGCAGCACTTGGGACGCGTTGGAACAGCTGGGGCCTGGGCCAGCTCCAACGTGGGGCCCAAGGCTCAGCCTCCAAGCACAAGGGAGCAGATGGAGCAGCTCTCTGCCTCCCTGGTCCTCTCCTCACCTCTCCTTGTGAGCAAAAAGGGGTTTAAATGAGATGCTTTCACTAAAAAATTAAAGTGTACCTTACTCCCTTTAGTTTGTAAAAGAAAGTCAGAGGTAGAAACGCTGACATTAGGAAGAGGTCAGGCACTCAGTGCATGTTTCTGGAGGACTTTTGTCGGACTGTGTGCAAAGGTTCTTTTGTGGAAGTTAATAATGCTCCATTCGTTTAGCCAAGGTCACGGTCACTGATAACTTGAAATAGAAAGGATGGGTCTCATTGGCAGACGTGTACAGGTGGGGAGAGAAGATGGAAAAGCTGTGAACAGGGGTACACTAGTTATATACAACTCAAGACAGGGTGGGCTTGAGGTCATTAGGCCTAAAGTCAGCACATCTCATCAGCAGTCGAGTTTTAGAAATGACTGCATTTGACGTGGATAGAAGATGACCAAATTGGCAAGAAAGAGTTAAGGCAAACATGCGCTGATGAGGAAGAGGTATGTACCATATATTTTTGAATGCTTTCCATGACAAATAGTTACACAAAAACAGTGAATTGGAAAATCATAAGCCTTATCTGGAAAGCTCCTTAGATGTGTCACGTTTAAAACCGAGGCCCAGAGAAGGAAGGCACCTGGCTGAGCCCCCATGGGACAGTCTTGGACCTGTGGCTCTTCCGAGTGCATCTGAGGGACCTGCACAGCCCTGAGAGTTCTGGCTTATACGGGAAATGAGCAGGACGCCTGTGCTTCCGTGGATATTGTCAGGAAGGTGGTGATGTAGGGGTGGCTGTTGGGAGGGGACCTCGTCATGCACACTAACTGGTTGGCAGGCACTGGCACTTCCCCCTCTGGAGCCCCTAGCCTTCCACGGGAAAGCTCGTCTTAAGCTGGAAATGCTGAGGCAGCGATTCAAGTGGTGTTTGTTCAGCTGGTTGCCGTATGTGGGGAGTCTGCATTTGAGAGCTCTCCTGATGTTATGATAGAAAGATGGCGGCTGTGAGAATGTTGGCAATTTGATATCCAGCCCCAGTTTTACACCTGAGACCCGCTGTGCTGTTGCAATAGCTGCCGGATGCTAGTCCAAAGGGAATAGAATTTTTAGCAGAGCTTTACAGAAAACCAACCTTGTATTATATTTCAGTGCAATACCAAACAAATGGGAAAACTTGAATCCTGAGTTTAAGTCTACCCTGGAGTGTCCACAGATATGTTAACTCATCTTGACTTTAGTATTTTCCCAAAAATTATGTCTGGCCGATTCAGTGACTTTTAAAGAACTGAGATAAATTCATATAAATTATATGAGACATAATTCCTTTAAAGTGTGTAATTCAGTGGGTACTAGTATACTCACAAGGTGGTGCAACCATCACCACTTTCTAATTCCACAACATTTCATCACCCCCTAATGGACCCTTTAGCTATTGCCCCTAGTCCCCCTTCACCCACCCTCCCAGTACAGCCGTAAGCAACCACCCAGGCTACTTTATGTCTTGCTTTCATTTGTATTTTAGTAACATTTTCTGTTTTGAAAGATACTCTGGTCTATTGAGAGATGACATCAGTGAGGTTACACCGTGGCATAAAATGCTGGCAAAACTCACCCTAGACTCCTCAGTAACTGGCACTGGGCCAACTGGATATCCACATGATAAAAAAATGAACTTCAATGCTTACTGCACACCAAATACAAAAATTTATTCTAATGAATCATAGAAATGTAAGGGCTAAAACTATAAAACTTCTGTATTCAAGACATTTCATACAAATGGAATTATATATGGTCTTTTATGTACCACATTTTGTTTATCCAATGATCAACTAACAGACTTTTGGGTGGTTTTTACTTTTTGGTATTTGATTTTTTTTAAAAAAAAAATTATTATTATCATCATTATTTTGAGAACGAGTCTTGCTCTGTTGCCCAGGCTGGAGTGCAGTGGTGCGATCTTGGCTCACTGCAGTCTTTGCCTCCTGGATTCAAGCAATTGTCCTGCCTCAGCTTCCTGGGTAGCTGGGACTACAGGCACTCCTGGGTTCAAGTGATTCTCCTGCCTCAGTCTCCCGAGTAGCTGGGACTACAGGTGCGTGCCACCACACCTGGCTAATTTTTGTATTTTTAGTAGAGATGGCATTTCACCATGTTGGCCAGGATGGTCTCGATCTCCTGACCTCATGATCTGCCCGCCTTGGCCTCCCAAAGTATTGGGATTACAGGCGTGAGCCACTGTGCCTTGCCCTTTTTGGCTTTTTGAAATAATGCTCATAGCATTACTGTTCATAACATTTGTGTATAAGTTTTGCACATACGTATTTTCATTTCCCTTGGTTATATATCTAGGAGTGGGATTTCTGGGTCATATAATAACTCTCCAACCATTGAGGAGTTGCCAAACTGTTTCCCACAGTGGCTGCACTGTTTTTATAATGCCATCAGCAGTGTATGAGAGTTCTGATTTCTCCATAGCCCCATCAACAGTTTGGCCGTGAGTTGGTATCTCATTGTGATTTTGATTTGCTTTTCTCTTATGTGCTTACTGGCCATTTGTATACCTTCTTTGGAGAAATGTTTATTCA